TACAAATGATTGCACGTTTGTTAATCAAAGAGAGTTCGTTCTTTTTTTTTTTTTTTCTTTGCATAGAATATGTAATCAAGTTTGATTCATTCGTCCTGTTTAGTTTACTTTTGTTTTTTCCTTATTTATATAGTGCCAAAACTAATACTTGCTTTAAGGCCTAATACTAAGAAGAAGATAACAAAAATTGACATGATCACAGGTGATGATGGTAGTAATAGTAATAGTAACCTCGTGTCAGTGTGTCCTTGGGATTCTTTTCTCTTTTTATTTTGTCATTCTCTCTCACGACAGAACCAACCACAGATTTTCCTTATTCTTATTGCGTACGTCACGAACAACTCGAGATATTTTGCATTGAAACGTTATTCGTCGGAAAGTGAATAATAAATTATATATACGCGATTTTAATATTACACAGTTGACCAAAAAAAAAGAAAAAGAAACAAGGATATTTAAATAATTTCATTGAAATAATAGATTTGCATATTCAATTTTTGAACTTGAATTTATATTGACTAAATATTCATCTCACCTGTGTAAAAAAAAAAATGCATATTTTAATATATTTCTTTTATAAATTATATGAGATATTAATATTTTACAAAACAAATATATGTTATATTATAATTTATATTTGTTATAGAAAAAACAAAACAAAAAAGTTAGAAATTCGTAACACAAAACAAGTAGTGTGTATATTAAATGAATAAATTACATTTATATTTATTTAATAATAATTAAAGAAAGGATTTTCCTTGGACCATCATCGTTGAAGGAAAAACTATAAAAAAAATATGGCGGATACGTCTGGCACTATAAAAAAAAACGCATAAAAGAGCTTCGACTCCTCCCCCCTCTTCCTCCCTTTATCGTTACTTAATTTATCTTCAATATCTCGTTGAGTGATAAAACGTGAGAAGATCGTAAAGTTATTCTCATACTTCTTCATTCGCACCTTTAATTAAATGAAAACTCGTCTCTGCGTTCTCGTCTTAGCTAACAATCCTAATCTTTATCATGTAATTTCAATGCTTTTTTTTTGCTTTAGAATTAACGCTGCTTGGTAAAAAGTAATATACTCGTTTTGTCGAACGAGAAACAAAAAATAAATATATATTTTACACGTATTATTTTTTTTTTTTTTTTTTTTTTTTTTCTTTTTAGAGATGTAGACACATTTGACGCACACACACGCACACATATACAAGCATGCTTGTCATACTTTTTTAGCACGTGTCACTGTAAATATACCAAATGCTTTGTTTCACTATTGCAATTTCTCTCACTTTTGTCTTTTGTTTTTTTTTGTTTTTTATTTTTAAGTAAATTATTTTGTAATTATTTATTATACGTTTGTGCCAGTAATTGCGACGAGATTGTATCAGTTAAATAATTAAAAGAAGAGAAATAGAAAAATCATGTCTTTATTTTATTTATCTTATATTATAAATTATTTTAATGTATATATATAAACGAATTGATTATTTTTACAATTACTCTCTGATCACATTTATATATTTATTATATACATGATTTCCCCGATGTTACTTTAATGAATAATTGCAGTTGCATAAAATTGTTAGAAGCAGAAGAAAAAAAAACATATTACGCAACGTCGTTAAAATTTTTATTGGTAAAAATGTTCTCTTACGTGGACAAAAATAAAAAAAAAAAAATAAATAAAGAAACGCGCGGTTAACTTATGCAATTTTGTACTCATGCGATAAATAAAATACGTCACATACGATATTTTCTAAGTAAGATAAGAAAAAAAAAAATATATATATAAGAAAATATAAGAAAAACGTAATCGGTTTTTTCATGGTTGATGGTTATAAGCGTGCGTGCGTGTGTGTGTTAAATCGATTCGTGCATTGTTCTTTGAGATTATTTTCGATCATAGTCGCGAGAATGGGTCCCCCGTCAGAAGAATGAATCATTCTCTCCCCTTACTTGGAATATTCGCACGGATTCCAATCCTATTAGATTAACCGTATATCGAAACTGGTTCTGGTGACAAAATGAGATAAGTACTACATTTTAACCGATTTTCAATGTCTTTCAAATGATTTGTTTGCACGTTGTGTCGCGTTATGGGGCTACTAACATTAATCGAATATTATTTAATCGAACATTATTTTACAAGAAATAAACATTTGTGTGGTTTTATTTTCAAAAAAAAATTAGAACAAATAATTCTACACAAAATTTATTATTATTATTATTATTATTATTGTTTCTTTCTCTTTTTTTCTAAATTTAATTATAGTAATAAAACAAATTCTAAAAAAAAAAATAAAAAATTCATTGCGTTTGGATAAGAATTTCAATGATATATGTTTGGAAAAAGAAACAAATAAATAAACCTATACGAAAATATGTATGAAAAAATTATGCAATAATTATTAATGTGGTATTCAAATTTTTTAATGAAATTCCATTTCGAGGATTTCAAGAAACGAAAAGACCGAAAAATAATGTCAAGGAGAATCGTAGCTAATATAGTAGTTTACTTTGATTTAAAAAAAAAAAAAAAACATGATGACGATGGTATTAGACCCCATGCATCATAAGATGTGATTCTTGATCTTCCACCGGTCATACTGGTTCGTTCAGGTAAAAGAAAAGGAAGAAAAATACCGATGCCCAAAGGGAAAGCCATAACAAACTATAATAATAATAATAATAATAGTGTAGGAAGAAAAACATCAGGGACTAGTTTTCGATGGCCATCTCTTACGGTCACAGTCCAATTTTTTTTTTTTAGAAACTGAATCTGTTGCAATCGTTGGAATTTAAACAAGGTTTTATTCTCTTTCCTATTAAAAAAGAAGAAAAAAAAAAAAGAAAAGTGAAGGTTCGAAAACACAAAAATAAATTTTTTCTTTCCTCCCAATAGTAGTTTTACATGTCAAATTTTATTTTTATCAATTTTTTGTTCTGGAATCTGTTCGATAAAATTTAATCAAATATCCATTAACAAATCTTTCTGTTTCAAAAGTTTAAAAATGAATCCATAGATACGTATATACATTTAGATATATAAATGAATTTTTAATATAATAAATATATTTAAAAATATATTTTTAAATCCTAATAACAATAATAACAATAATAATAATAATACAATTCAAACAATGGACAAATAAAATATACAATACTCGTTTGATTCTACGAACTGAAAAATATGAATATAAATAAAACTAACACACAGGAGGGGAGGCCCCGTATATTCATGGATATGCAAATAAAAAAATATACATTTATTTTTTTACTACTCGATATTATTTTCCTTTATTGAAATTAATGCTAAAGATAATAAAATTCTTATATATAATATAATAAATAAATAAATTATCCAAATTCTATATATCAAAATATATAAACTGGCCTGAACACATACATACACATACATAAACATATAGAGACACACGTGTTTAACATGTTGTCGATGATACTGATGAGTTTTCAACACGTGCTTATACATTCACCTGGTTACTATGACGCCTATGTAGAAGAAGATGATGATGCGTCTGCGCCGATAACTTGGCTTACAGTTTCCCGTGGATCGATAGGATGCAAGAGAGTAGTTTATTCAGATATGTTGCCGGTAGTAGAGTTGCTGGTGATATTATAATAGTAGACTTCACTTAGAAAACAGGGAAGAGACAAATAACACACAAATCCTACAACAACACAACGCCTTAAGGGTAGGAGGGGGTGGGGTTTGATTGGTTGGTTGGTTCCGTGCATTCACCCAAGCGCGTCTTTCAACTCTCTTACATCTTCTCACGTTTCGTCCAGTTAGTAGGATTACTATACTACCAACACGCTATCCGTCCTACAAGTTTCAAATTTTCTTTTGAGAAAGGAACGACGAACCTAACAGTTCAGTTACAACACCATCAACACTCTGAGATATCTGACGGATTTTATGGATCACATTCTACTTGTTAAAATAATCTTTTAACTAATATCTTGTCTCCCTATTATTATAACAAGTGATTTTTTCCTAAGTGTATTTTATTATCAACTTGTTGATGAATTGTTTGTGAACGAGGGACAATGTAAATATTGGACAACTATAAACGAGTAGTGGGGTAGGGAACATTCATGTTTACATGGGCAGTCTGGGCAGGTCAAAACTCATTTGTCTGGCATATAAAGTTCATTTGTTGAATATTTCATCGTGATAAATTATTAATATACATTTAATCGTCTCGACAACAACATGTTGTCCCGTACTTTTAGCGTATTTACTATGCGAAATAGAAAATCATCATCTTCTTCTTCGTCTACTTCTTCTTCTTCGATTATTAATAATACCGGGGATGATAATCAAGGTATATTTTTAAAAACAATTAGCAATAATATTTATCTGAGTAATTGAAATCATTGATAATATTATGGGTTTTGATTTATATTACTATGGTCAAAGGTTGATAATTATAAACGGTATATACGTAAAATTGCTTAATGACCCGTTGCTATACTTGATATTAATAGTTAGGTATAATCGGATTTTTTTTTTCTTCTTTGATCACACGTGCGATGAACGAGAAGAAAATTGATATTATACGTCACGTAATTTATTCAATATAAAAGTGCATCCGAAGAAATGTTCTAAAGCTCGTAGGAGTTTCGTACGTTTTTTAACTCTCAATATTGAAATGATTTGTTGTTTGTTTTCTTTTTTTAAATTTAATTTTTAATATATCATCTTAATTCAGATCTTATATAATCACACAGTAGATATTATTATTATTATTCTTGTTGCACGTCAAATCTTTGTTTCAGCCTCTTCGCATTTTGATATCAAATTGATTTTATTTTCTGCAAACATTTGTCACCCCAATGTATAACACAATTTGTTAATATTCAATATTATTCGTTTACACGTTGTATTTAGTTTTATACGCATATAAACATGTGGTTTTATTGTAATTGGTAAAACTGCATGCATCAAAAAGTCGAATGAAATTATTATTTGTTTCTAGTTCTATGCAGCGACCGTGTGAGCCAAATGACCAAGACCTATAATGACATTGAGGCAGTTACAAGGCTTCTGGAAGAAGTAAGATAAAAGGAAAAAAAAGCTTTAACACAAAAATGAACAATACAGATTTAAACTTTAACCAATTAATAATGTGATTGATTAAAAAAAAGTATATTTCGTCATATGGAAACAAGTATTTAAACATTTGTTAATTTATTCAGTAAACTATAGTGAATCTCTTGAACAAAAATGTATAATTAAATGAAATGATAATACAAAATATTACTTTTATCATCTATAACGATCACAGCCTTAATTGGTTAACAACATTAACATTTTTAGCAAATAAAAAGTATCCTATATATTATTGTTAACTGTTATTATTATCATCTTGTAGAAAGAAAAAGATTTGGAATTGACGGCACGCATTGGTAAGGAACTGCTGACGCACAATCAAAAACTTGAGAGTACTGTTAACGCCCTAGAATCAGATTTGAAAGAGGCAAACGAAAAGATCACACAATTGAATCATGAATTATACAAGAAAACCGAACTCATTCAAATTCTTACAAACGACGTTGACGAGTCGAGCTCAGAAAGTGGTACACCAACGGGTTTACGTGGTATCAATTTGGACATGATGCAAAGGAAGATAAGTACCTTAGAAGATGAGAACAAACAATTACGTAATGAATTTTCCAAGTTGATAAGCGAGACCAACGATACCGAGGAACAAGAGGCCCGCCTTGTAAAGGACATTGCTTCTCAACTCGGTTAGTTGTAATTATTATTTCAATATAAACGTTTAAGTTTAATTATAATAATGTATTGAAATAAAATAATCGTGTTTTCATCATGATGTAACAGCAAATGCCAATATGGAGGTGGACGATATGGCCGATGAGCTTGGTCGACAAAAAGAAGAAAATAGGTTACAGCATGAACAAATAATTAGCCTGACTGCTAAATTAGCTGAAACTGAGCTCAGGTTAGCTCAACTCTTGGCCGAGCATGATGAGGTCGGTGCGACTCTAGTCATTACCAGAGATAATCAGAACACCCTTGCTAGTGAACTTGCGGAATTTAAAGAACGATATGCTGAGGTATTACTATTCGTAATTTATATATTCATTTTTAACCGAGAAATATATTTGTCAACATATTATTCGAGTACACTTGCGGGGCACGCCTTTGACCAGTAATCAAAGTACAATGGTGGTACTTTAATGATAAAAGGAATTCAAAATTTGACTAAACCTCATGAATTATTTTTTTTCTTTCGGTTTTTTTTTTTAGGTTGTTAATCTGCTATCTGAAACGCAAGAACAGTTGCGTAAACAAAGAAAACGTGGAATGCCAACCGTAAGAGGTGGATCGCTGTTTCCTTCGATGGGTGCTGCACCACAACCAGACTCGATAGCTTCGGAATTGGAATCTTCTCTATATTCGGAATTGAGTCTTGATTCTGGCATCATTACCGATCGAACGTAAGTTATAAAATGTCGTCGTCATTCTTAAATACTTTCATATACGTGTGTGTATTATTAATGTATTATTTAACGATGACAATTTGTTTTCTCTATTTGATTTAGGCCAACCTATAAGAAAGTATTCGAAACGGTTCGTTGTGCTTCGCGAGCGTCGTACTCTAGTGCAGATATGAATCAATTTCCTCGTATAGGTTCTATGACAACATCAACATTATCTAGCGGTTCGATGGGTCCACGTATGAGTTGTACTCAAGTTAAATCTAATGTATCTTTTGGTTTTCCAAGTTTTGATTCTACCGGTCATAGTGAGAGCGAAGGTTCCCTTTTCACTGAGTTTGATGATTATCCGTATGTATCATAGTAAATACGTATAAAATAGTCTATGAGAAAATGATTTCTAATAAGTGTTTATTATGTTTGTCTTTGTTAACAGAGGACCACAAAGGATTGGAGTGCCTGGTGCACCGGGTGCAGCCGATTTGGAAGCAGCTCTACGTCGATTGACACCTGCAGAGGTGCTAACAAGACGAGCATGTCTGAGTACTGGTGCTGGATACAACTATGATTACGATGGTGGTATCGCACATTCACCGCCAAACTTTTTACCGTTTGGTTGTCGAACACCTGACAGTATAATGTCAACTGGTAGTAGTGGTAATTTAAGCGGTTTCAGTGCTAATGCCGGAAACGCTTGGAGAGTTCCAGAGAAATTACAGATAGTAAAGCCAATGGAGGGTTCGCAAACGCTACATCATTGGTCACGATTAGCTACGCCTACTTTAGGTGGATTATTGGAAGATAGACCAGGTGTTAGAACACGTGGTGGACGTGGCCTTGAAGATATCGGTTTATTGACCTTTACTTTGTCGGATCTAGAGGAAGACGAGGAGTACGCGAATCCTGGTAAACTCTTCCAAGATACAGGCTCGGTGTATACATTTACGAATAGCACGGTACTTCATCCGGACGAGCATACGAGCGTGACACCAAGTATCGTTGGTAGTAGAGTAGCAACGGCGCCAAGTAGCGCTGGAAATTCTGGAAAGAATAGTCCTAGAACTCGTAGCAGGAGTAATTCTACCTCGACTTTCTCGACTACACTCGGCTTGGCCAAGATGCTCAATGAAAGAGGAATCAAGGCTGTAACACCTTCCTGCGTAGGTACTTCATGCGGGGCGACACCTAACGGTGAAAGAAACTTCATACCGACGGCTACGCCTTGTAATAGCCCAGACGCTAGTCCACCAGCAACGAGATCCACATCACCACCACCTGCAACGTCGCAACAAGAAAATACTTCTCTATCTTTCAGTCTGTTAAGTAGCGGAGCTGAATTGTTGAAGCGTACATTCAGTACCGAATCCTCCACTCAATCACAACCTAACAAAAGAACGAGATCAAAACCGTCGCTTTCAAGATCCGAGAAAAAAGCACTTTCGGGAATACGATTGGTCGAGAAACTTGAAAGAATAGGAATAGATGCTATCATGTCGACAACTGGTGGTTCCTCGATCTCACCGTTGGCACTTCAGGGTGCTTTGTATACGCGACGTTCGATGAAGAGTCCAATGGCACAACTGACCTTTCTCAAAGGATCGATGCCTTCGAGCGTCAGTCAGGAAAGATTGTTCACATCCTCGTCATCCTCATCCTCGGTTTCCTCTGAATTTAGATCAAAACCAACGTTGGAACGTCATATGAATGACGACGATCCTAGAAATAAGATGGACGATGACGACGATGGTGGTTCTTCAGTTATGTCCTCTGCTAATTCTAGTTTAGATTCGCCAATGAGATCGTTCATTTTAGAATGTGCGTTTGCTACTCAAGATAAACGAGATAGCGATGGTAGTAGTAAACCAACTAGATCAGATTTAGGAAAAGTTATGGCAGCGGCTAATATTGCAACACCAGTTACCAGAGAGTCCATTACTCAAACCGCCCTAGGTTCCATCAGTTCACTATTCTTTGGACGCAAAGGTGGTCTTTTGTAAAAATCATCTTTCTATTTTTTTCTTTCTTTCTTTTTCCTTTTCTTTTTTAATTTCTTTTTGTCCTTCTCTTTTCGTTCCATTCGATTAGCCGTCGTGCTAACGATAAGTTGAACGTGTAGTAGTCAGGATCTTAGCAGATTAATGGAGGTGTATTGATTCGTTGGCAGCAAAAATGATTCCATTGGTTTATTCATTCATTCATTCATTCATTCATTTGTTTGTTTGTCCGATTAGAAAACTTGAAACATTGTTCGTGCTATTTAACACAAAACACATTATACACAGTGCTCTCATCTGTGCGACACTTTATTTCCAATTAAAACATGCATGGTATGTGTATATGTACAATTACGTATACTCATACACACCTACACATCCACATATATAATTATATATATTTTATTTTATTTGATAAATACTTAATTCTTTGCAGTCCGGCGTCTTCTCATTTTCAACTTCAGTATCTTCACGCATTTATAAAATAAAATCTTCTTTTTTTTTTTTTGTTTGTCAATAAGTTCTAATAAGATTAATGAGATTTTGTAATGAATTTACTTAATTGAATTTAATATTCTAATTTCCTCCACAATTATTTACGTCGAATTTAATTTATCGTTCTATGTTTAAGTTAAACAAAGTATCACTGCTAATTCTATATCGATTAATATTTAGATATCAAAATTAACAAAAAATCTGATCGGACAGCAAAGTATTAATATTTTTAATAATCATTATTAAATAGAGTCCTAATAATCCTCTCTATCAGTACAGTACATACAAATCCTTATAGTATCGATCACAATGATCATATATAGTGACAGAACAAAAATATCTTTTAGTCTAAACAATGGGAATGTGTCGAGTAAACCAAAAATGAAAAAAAAAAAAAAAAGAATAACGAGAAAAAAAGTATATATAAATATTAATAATAATAAAACAAAATAAAGATATCACACAAAATAATTTATCGATCAATCGTTTATGTATTCGATGATCGTAGGAGAGCAATATAATTCAATACTTGTATGATGATAAGGATGATAATGATGATGATGATGATAAGAATTACATTGATCGAACATGAGTGCGATCTCTTCGATCACCTAAAATGATTGCTTAAAAAAAATCTATTGTGAAAAAACACGAAGGCTGCTCATATAATTATTGTATATAAGAAGACAAAGTTTTACCGCTAGTAAGTTAGGAAAACGAATTTATCGTGAAACAAGTATGATGTGATTTCAAAATGATTAAGGTTATTATCGATGATTTTACTCATAATTATTATTGTTCAAAAAATGATGACAATATGATTTTTTTAAAACAATAATTCGATGTTACTAAAACACTGATTTTTTACAATTAATAGTTTTTCTTTATTTTTTTATTTATTTATATATATATATATATATTTTTTTTTTCGAAGCACAAAGAATGATCAACTTTTTCTAAATCGTTCTCTTCAATTTTTGTTTGCTTGGTGCTAATTTATTCTCTTTTTCTCTTTGATTTTTCGTTTCCTCACTTTTAACTCGCTTTTATTATTAGTATTATTATTTTTATTATTATTATTATTATGATTGTGATTATATTACTATAAATGTTCTCTCGAAGATTGTAGATTTTTCATCGGTCTGATACTCTTAAAAACGACGAACGTATATTTGTACGTACGTGTAATGTGTGCGTATAGAGTAGAATCATTTTCAGTATATCTGAATTTAATTTGAAAAACGAACATAATTGTTCCGATTATTACAACAGTGTTTAGATAATAATAGAGATAATTTATTCAGATAACTGGAGAGGTTCCACTGTATACATATATAACAAAAAAATATACATTTAAATCGTCTCCAATGTTTCTTTCTTTTTTTACTTAACTTAACGTGCACGATATTATTTCTTATTTTATATTATTTTATTGAGTAACGATTACTCGGTAAAATGATATTTAAAAAAAAAAAGAAAAAAAAAACAGCAAAAATCGAATTAAACCGAGCATCCCTTCGTTACTTGTATATAACGAAAAAAAAAAAAAAAAAAAAAAAAAAGAAAAGATGAAAAATTGTGTGCACATTAAAACCATTAATAATATAATAATAATAAAGGAAGAAATTTTCGAGACGAAATATTAATCTTCACGAATGAAAACACGAATAATAAAACGGTATAATATGGTAATCGATCGATGCTATTGTCAATCTTTGTTTATTGAAGATTGTACATTTAGCATCGATTTTTAACTGGATTCGTGTTGTGATATTATTATTTATACATTAAAAAGAAGAGATCTCTTGTTGACAAAAAAAAAAAAGGATAACAACACCGTTAGAAAAATCCTTTCTTCTTTTTTTTTTTTTTAATTTCAATCTTTTTATCATAAATATTCTTAATTATTATTATTATTATACTTTCTAATTATCTTTTCTTTTCCTTCCTTCTCTTTTAATTCTTAATTTATTGTCAATTGTATTATTTCAATAGAAAGAAAAAGAGAAAGAGAGAGAGAGAGAAAAAGTATGATTATTTTATGTATGAAGGCAAACAAAATGTGTTGTATTATATAAATAATAATTCGTCGGGGGGTTTTTGGCATTGGAGAATTAAAATAAAGAAGCAAAAAAAGGTAAACACAGAAAAGAGAGAAAGAAAGTTAGATTAGATTAGATTAGATTAGATTAGATAAATAAATAGATTGAGAAAAACAGAAGAATAAGATGAAGATTAATAAAAACATTGGGACAAGAAAAAGAGAAAAAAGTAAAACCGACAAAACTGGAGCCTTGTACAAGAAACGTACAAAGAAGTATATAATAAAATTATGTTGGAAATCTTAAACGTTAAACCTTAGTTTACTTTACCGTCGTTCGTTTTAAGCTTTAATTTAAGTTATTATATATATATATGTTTCTTTTTGTGTTTTTCCCCTTCCTTCAATAATGAGAAACATTTCGTTGGATTTTACGATTAAAAACGGGCCTAATAATAATTCGTTGTTTCGCTTAGAATAAGAGAATAAGAAAGGGTATTATATGTAAAACCGTAATTTAAATATCGTCGTATAACGCCAAAGAATTATTAACTTACAATTAATGTGAAAAGAATTTTTAAACATTTTCGAGAGAAGTTTGTTTTTTTCTCCTCTTGAATGATCATTTATTTTTACATTATTTTCCGTTTGTATTTCGTTCTACATTTTTTTTTTTTTTTTCTTTTCTTTTGTTTTTTTCTCATTCTCCCAGGATTGATTTTTTAATTGATTTATTTCTTTCGTTTGTTTTTTTTTCCGTCGTTTTTCGCTTATCAGCGAAGAAAAATCGTGAAAAGAGAAAGAAAGAGAGAGAGAGAGAGAGAGAAAAAAAAAGAAGAAGAAAAATACAAAAGTGAAGATGAAGGATGAATAAATACAAACGACCGACTGACTATGGCAAATGTAGTTAACTTAAAATGAAATAATGTATGTCGTAAAATTAATGAGAGACTTGCAAAGAGGATTTAGAAACGTAGAATTTGTGAGTGAACGCACTGCTTTTTTTTCCTTTATTTGTTTTTTTTTCTTTTTTTCAAAACGTTCTTTTAATTCTTATTCAAATTGTAAGATTAAAGAAAGCATTGGTGATAATACGTTAATAATACAATTAATATTACTTCTTTTTTTTTTTATCATGTCAATTTTGAATTATTATACAAAATATTAAATTGCGCATTGTATATTCTTTTAATACTAATATTATTATTATTATTAATATTATTATTTAATAGAAATAACTATTATACGATCGTCAGATCATAAAAAATATAATATCGAAGAAAATATCAAACTAAATGACACTACCAAAAAGTTATAAAGAAAAACAAAACGAAACAAAAAATAAATAAAAAAGAAACACCATCTATATGCACAATTCGTATTACTTGTCAATCATTGAAAAAAAAAAAGAAAGAAAAAATAAAAACCAACAAAAAGAAAAGAAAAGAAAATTAATACGACGATAATGAGACGCAAATAATTGTCGCTCAAAGCAAAGCAAAGCAAACAAACAATTAAAAAAAGAATTTAACGAATAATAGTTAAAAATTAACCGGATTTCATACATGTTGCTTCCGATTTTCAAGTCTCTGATTATATACATACGTATTTACTTGTACGTATTATATAAAATGAAACTAAACGAATATTGACCTATGTATCGTTGTTAGAGGCGATATATTATCTGATAGATATATATATAGCTTATGTTAGTAGTTCGAAACCGAGGCCTTAGAGTAAATCCCATGGATCCCCTCTCCTCCCCTTCCCCATCCCCATCCCCCCTTTATATATTTATTTCTTTATTTTTTATCATTATTATAATTATTACTAATATAACAAACGTAATACGATTTATATTTTTAATTCAATTATTTATTTTTGCTCTGACCCCCTCCCCCCCTAACGCCCCCGACGACGAATAGTCTTCTCCGAGATGAAAAAAAAAAGACAAGAATACAAGAATAGTAGAAGAAAGAAAATTAAGATTAAAATAATAAAGCATCCTTGGAAAGATTGTTTTCGTAATAATTTGATCTGAATGCGGATTATATAATAATTATCAATTATATTTAATTGGATAATTTAGTTTGATGAACGTATTTGTTTGAAAATATTTGCCTTCGCATTTCTGCATAATTTCCGCATTTTTGCTTTCGCATAATCCAATCGTGCCTCCTTCTACCCCCTTCTACCCCTTTCCCCACTTAATTTCTCGATTCGTTGAAAGAGAAAGAAAGATTAACAAAATAATACAATAAAAAACACTTTTTGCATTTGTTAATTAAAAACTGAAGATGATGATGATGATGATGATGATGATGATAATGATAATGATAATGAAAAAAAGGTGGTCGGAGATGGGAGTATGTGTACGTTTAAAAAAAAATTAAAAATTAGTTAAGATCGATAAGAAAATGTTTGCACTGTAATAAAATGAATTGTTGCAATATAGCGATCTGTGCGCAATACATACCTCCAAATCGAACAATAAATATATTTAAGTATATAGGACGTGTGGTTTTATTCGTACCTTTCAATCGAGACAATTGTTTAATGCAAAACAAATTTAGTTTAATATTTAGTTTGATTTTTTTTTTTTTTACGACAATGATAGATCCAATTTATATTTCATTAATGTAAAATGACAATCGTTTTGTAATTTAATTGTAAGTCAAATTTTGTGGAGGATATTAATCTATTTATTTATTTATTTATTTATTTATTTATTTATTTATTTATTTATTTATTTATTAACTGGATATATTTTGCATATATAAAACATCTTAAAAAGAAATAATATAATATAATGGTAATTTATTCGAATGATATTTTTGAAAGATTAAATCAATCATCGTGCACACATACACACACACACGCGCAACGTGTATTTCTGTTTAATTTCGCTTTAATTATCATGTAATTTGTATTCTACTCTGATCAGATTAACTATAATTTCATGATATACGTAAAATATGTTATATGTTATTTAGTTATTTATTCAATTCACAAAGTGCTTATTAATCCCTGTCTCGGCAGGGAATATTTTTGTACCCATGTTCGAATTTTAATTGAAAATAACAAAATAAATTATCAGACCGATATTTTGAAGCCCCTAGAGAGTATAAGTATATATTTTTTTCAAATATTTTAAATAACAATAACATTGAAAAAATTAACCAACCCACGAAGGGGGTTAGTTTGTTCCACCATGGATCCACTCGGGCCAACTTTCCATTTGTTTGGATAAACGATACCCAGGACTAAGTGTTGATGATACTTGTCTAGCAGCAATGGCACGAATATTGTCACGAAGTACACCATTAGAAACACCACATCTAAACAATTTGTGTGCAGCTTCCACCATTTTATTGCTCGCATTTTTGTCTACAATGCAACATAAAAAAGAATAAAATATAATCGAATTATTTTTATTTCGTTTTGTTTTCTTTTCTTTTCTTTTCTTTTTTGTTCTTCTTTTTCTTCATAGTCGCGTGTAAAATTTATTTCGCACATATTAAATAATTAAAATTAGTTCGTACCTTCGAAATTACCAATGAAACCTATTCCGAGAGAATTTTTATTGTATCCTAAAGTATGGGCCCCTTCTTTGGTCCACCCTGCACCTTCGTAAACATTACCATCGCCACCGATGAGGAAACTTTAATCAAATAAAAAATTATCGATTAGAAAATATTTCTAATTATTTATGCTAATACGAACGATTATATAGTCGCGTGTCAACAAATATTTTCTAAAAAGCACAACAAATATTTTGTTAGTTGTCTTAACAAATTCTCGTGCCGATTTATAAAATATGAAGTTGAAAGTTTATATCGATTTATAAATAAATATTTTCAAAAGTATCATTTTTTATATTTTGAATCTACGATATATCCGATGATCTGAATTGTTCGAACTTTCTACTATTCTCATGCATCATTATTAAAACGGTTTTAATTATTCGAACACTGTGTAAACACTTTCCTCCTTGCGTCGTTTATTATCAAAAAATCAACATCGTAGAGTATACCATTTGTAGAATATTATATCTTTCTTATTGTTCCAATATAAAATTGATATTCAAAACGCATTTAAAATTAACGTATGATGGCATCGAAAAGGTAACAAAGTCAATACAACGAAATAACGACACGGAGGCAATTATTCATATTTTCGTACCATACCCGAAAGAATTAATAAAAGATAATAATAATAATAATAATAATGATAATAATAATAATAAAATCAAAATTTAAAAAAGAACTTACTTATAACCAATATCATGCCAACCAAGCGTATCCATATGATAAGATTGAATGGACTGTACTCTTCGTGAACATTCAGATTGTGTGTTACATTCCGGTGTAACAGTATGATGTATTATTACATTTGGTAATGGTAATATAAGATAATTAATACCTTTCGGTCCCCTTCCTCCCCAGGCACTCTTACTTATTATGTTAGGACAATCGCCATCTAAAAAGATTAAATAATAAAAAATATCACATCGATAAATTATTATAACTTATTACAAACATGTCGCAATATAAGAGTGCACCAATTCATTTTATATTTATAATCTTTTATAGATCACTTTAAAAAATCTTGTAAACTTTTTTTGAAGTGTCACAAACTCAAAACACACACACACACACACAGATTTCTTACTTACTAGTATAGGACACATGAAGTATTAGAAAAAGTGTTAACAATTGTACGATCATTTTTTGTGTCGATTTCTTTTATGTGTTTTAATAATTGTTTCGTTATAAATTGTAATAACCCACCACTCGATGATACTAAGAGTATTTTACGGAGGATTGAAAATCGAAAGAGTTATATACAAGTTTAAAAGAACAAAGGTCAGAGATAATGATTGACGCAGAAATATCATTTTCAAGTATTTTTAATTCTATAAGTACTAATTTCCTAGAATATTATCTTTTTATATATGCTGAAAATACTTTATTAACCGTATGAAGATAATATTAAATAATATTTATTGAAATTATCTATTGATTTTTCATTTCGAAATTGTATATAAAATTAAAAGTAATAAGCGTGGAGACCTTAGATAAAAATAAACATTAAAGAATACAAGAACAATAATAAAAGATTACTTTTCATTTTTTTTTATATTTATTAAACATTACATAGATTAATCACGCACACATACTTATGCAATAAGTATTGTTTTCATTTAAAGAAAAACTTGTATTTATGAAAAATAAAGATTATACGTTCATAAAGTGAAACATTTTGCATCAAAGCTATCATTTCTCTCTCTCTCTCTCTCTCTCTCTATTAAAATTTGATAAAATTATATATAAAAAAAATTATATACTAATGTATTTTTAATTTCTTCTTTTTCTACATTTTTTGTTTTCAAATTGTATGTCATTCAACGTTTATGCTATTACCTAAAAAATATTTCAAATTTGCCGCCTAATATTATTATGATGCCAGAGTGATATATATATGTATTCAGTAGTAAGTAACCTAACCTGTCAAAGAAGTTGAATTTGATTTCTTAACCTCGTAAAAATTTAAAAACAAACTTGTATTTTTTAAATAATGGAGACCGTACGTCCATGTGGTTGTAAAGGAATACGTAGTTGCTTGATTTGCGAAGAACAATTTAATATAAAAAAATTGGATTTAAAAGAAAAATTACAAGTAAGCAATTATTAACCAAGATTTAATTATAATTGTACTTTATCTTTTTTAGAATTACCTTTCTTTGATTTATTTATTTATATATATATATATATTTGATAAATTCATTATAATGTTAAAAACATATAACAATATGTAAGAAATCTTATTCATATATACAATCCCCTAATTTATTTTTTAATTGTAGGAAAAATCCTCTTATGTTTATTGTCCGCACTGTGATAAGGCATGGCCTGGATGGGATATAGAATTGTACAAGCAACATCCTCATCACGAAGGACAAGCGATAAATTATCCAGGCGTTTTTATTCAAGTAATTTTTATATAAAAATGATCACATTATGTGAACGTTTATTATACTAATATTTGATGATTTTTCTTTCGCGCAGTTGGATTTTTTAAATACAGAAGAGACATCGACTTTAATGAAGTTGTTAGATGAGTTACCGTGGGAGCCATCGCAAAGTGGTAGAAGAAAACAAGTGTGTAAAAATGTTCACTATAGTTAACATTAATTCTATCATTTATATTAACTTATCGAACATTAATTTTTAGAATTTTGGTCCAAAATGTAATTTTAAGAAACGAAAATTACGTTTAGGTACATTCAATGGATTTCCTAAGATTACAGAATTTGTACAAAAGAAATTCAACGAAGTTCTAATTCTAAATAATTTTCAAACGGTAGAACAATGTACTCTTGAATACAATCCAAAACGAGGAGCTTCTATCGATCCTCATATAGATGATTGTTGGATATGGGGAGAGCGTATAGTCACGGTTAATGTCTTAGGTGATTCCGTATTAACGATGACACCTTATACTAAATCGATTAGATGTTACAATCTAGATTGCGTAGAAAATTATTCTTCTGAAGTTGATACGAAAGTAGAACCACCACAGGAAGACGTTGTAGTACGTTTACCTATGCCAGCTAAATCATTAATGGTTTTGTATGGACTTGCGAGGTATACTCCATCAAACTTCTATGCAATATTTTTAAAATACGCATTAGTTATTTAACAATACAATTGTTTTTATAGATATAATTGGGAGCATTCAGTGCTTCGAGAAGATGTAACGACAAGACGCGTCTGTCTTGCTTACAGAGAATTAACACCGCCGTATCTTAAAAATGGTAAACACGAAAAAGAAGCGTCTGAAATTCTTGAAAAAGCAACCAATTTTTGGTAACAATTAAATAATACCATTGATAGCGTATTTGCAAGACAATTTTACTGTCGCATTATCACAGTTTCATTTGAAATGTCATGTGATATGGAATATAGCAGCTAACAAAAGAAGTATCAAACGTAAAGCAACAAGATTGAAATAAAAGTTATACAATGGAATATTAATACAGTACGTGTCAATTTTTATATTTTATTTTATTCGTCTCTTTGTTTCCTTACGAACTATAATAGCATGATGGAGAGATAAAAATGAATAAGTTGTAGAAAAAAATTTATTCTCGAATTAATTACAATATATCTTATACATGGATGACACCATCAAAATTTAAGTATTATAACTATGAAAAATACTTTCTCGTAACAGTTATTTAATTGTTTATTAAATAATACTGTTACATTTGTAGATTTTTATTATAGACAAGAGACAACAAAAAACTTGTATAAACATTGCGAAAGTGTGAGCGAAGATAAATTCAAACGAATGTTTAATTTATAATTAAAAAATGTCTATTGTCTTTTTCTATATATGTATATATATATATATATATTTACAATTCGTGAAAGTAATATATATTATTTCAACGTGACATCTATATTCTATTTAAAAATTGCTCGATAGTCTAGTATTAAATATATAAACTTTGGTATCACATTAAATTAAACTCGCGTTTATTTAAATACGAGTTTTGGGAAATATATGTATATTTATTAGTTTTTAAAATACTTTCTCGTTCTCAACAACAAAAAAAAGATTTATAAAATTTGATATGATTTTTATTTCATTCGGTTCGGTAGAACTTTGTTGTGTGTGTGTGTGTAAAATATTATTGTTAAAAATTGTGTATAAGATTTGTTTCGTTAATCTTACGATTGTGCAATCAAAAAGAGCAAAGAAATAAAAATGAAAAAAAGAACTACAAATGTTTATTGTAAAATAGACAACTGATAGAAAATACTGACATCTTTATTTTGTAGGATAAGGAGCGAATAATAAATCGTCCTTTTGATATACCTCTGAAATGGCACACAAATAACATATTTCGCATTAAATGGAAATTATAGGACTAGCAATTTGCAGTGCTTTTCAATGGATAGTCAGGAGACTGCATGTATACAACAGGGAAGGTTGTCAACGGATCTGCTTTTCCAAGAGGTTGATAACCGTTTACGATACTCTCTCTCAATTCCCACTTACGTCTTTCTCTTTCTGTCTTTTGTCGTCTGATGGCTCTACCCAACATACACGCAAATACTATTCCAGTTAGCTGAAAAAATATGACAATATTTATATTATAAATAAGTTCATCGAAACATCTTACAAATGATTCATCGAATTTTAAATAGTATTAATGATAAAATACTGAATAATATATGAAAGAGAAAAATTCCAATGTAACATTGATGAATCATTTGTAATTATCCTGTATTATTATACCAAACAATAGATGTGGTAAATCTTTTTAACAATGATATCAAATATCAATCTTTCGCATTATGATTCAACACGAAAAGCTGCGTAACATATTCGATATTATATTTCATGGTTCTCATGTTTGGGCTACAAAACTTATCATAAATATAAATAAAAGTATTTTGTTTATATTAACCAACCTGAATAAGAGCTATCGCTACGGCTCCTGTACCAATGTAAAGTGCACTGCGATGAACTATGATGGAAAGTCTGCTCATGCAGCCTATTTCATAAGGAATCTTACACATAGTGGTATTTAAATCAAATTCGAGAATTCCACAGCAGGAGTTAGGTATACCTTTGTCGTTTTCTTGATCAAATTTAATTTCATCCCAGTTGTTTCTACCGTTATAGCCACAACAGTGTAACTGTAAATATAAAGTACAACGTGATTACATGTTTATTAGAAACAAATGTTAATTCAGCTAATTAAACTCGAGCTCTTTATTGTTTATAGATTAATCGTCGAATCATTCATAATTTTACCCTGGATTGCATGAAATCAACTGCATCTTTAGTTTCTTTATTCATATCATATTCATGCATTGTGGTATTGATTTTACTCTCCAAAAGATCTTTCACGGTGTCTTGTAAAGCGTACGCTGCAGTTGCAGCGGACAATTCCATCACCAAGACAACCGATAAGGAAACAGCGAACTAGGGGGAACAAAAGGAAATAAAATGCATAAATGTTTGCACAAATTTGTTCGATCATTTTTAATGAATTTTTTTTAAGTAATAATATTTGCAATACTTACAACAAGAACCATACAAGTACTTTCTCGAAGAGCACCGCAACATCCGAAGAAAGCAATTATAAAAACCAATATGCCAACTACGATCAAGAGTGTGGCTGGTGAGAAGTATTTGGGATCCAAGAAATGAGAAAAATCTTCATAAACGGCATAAATCGTTGAACCAACCGATATTATCATTATACCCGTCAACTGAAATCAGTAATGAATTAATATTAATTAATAAAATCAATGTCAAGTTTTGTTTTTCTTTTATTCGAAGACACGTGGATCGTTGAATTTCTAACGTTGATTAAAATAAAATCATATGTGGTGTTATTTTTTCATTTTAAACGATTTCTATAAATCAATATTGTATCATCATTGAAAATACATTGGAGCGTTATGTTCATCGTTTAAAAGAATGCTATCATCGTTGAAAGCGATAACGTATCGCTGATTACAATTTCCAATCAATGTGAACCAATCGAGGTGTTAATTGTTAATACGAAGTTAAATAAATATTTTATTAAATGTTTTACTAATTGATCGAGAGAGAGAGAGAGATGATGTTTTTACAATTAGCCAAAAACCGTGTTGGGGGGATTGTAAATATTATGAAATTATGTAAGAGAATTTAAAATAGAATCTTTGTTTTTCTTTTTTCATAATTTCATCATTTACTTTAAGCAAATTAAAAAAATGTTTCGATATGTCGTATTTAAGAGATCGATTTAATTATACCGCGCATTAAGAACTTTCATTTTTTGAATTTTTTCTTTTTCATATACTTTCTGAAAGAAAAATAATAGTTAAGGAAAAGATAAAATAAGATCATTTATCCGATGACGATTTACCAGAAAACATTTTGTTTTCGTTCGATATTAATACGTGGATCATAAAATTATCTCTACTGATAAACCGTTCTTCATGTCTTTAAGTATAATCGATGTTAAATATTTTTCTTGGAATGATTTTTAATCTTGATTGATATTTTAAACACGTTGCAGACAAATTACACAACATTTCGAATATGATATTACAAGTGAAACCAATTTTTCTTATTTACAATTAGTAACAAATGATAAGTAAGTTTTAATTTCCAACAGAAATCTTGATATTTGTAACTATTTCATTATAATCACATCTTTCAATTATAATGAAATAATTATCAAGATATAAAAATAATGTAAAGGAAATATTTTTTCATTTGACGTAATGATTAATAATAATTTTACAATAAGAAAATAATAATTGCAATTGGTGTCGCCATTCAATGAAACCTGACAGTAGAAAATGGCGGTACGACTATATATATATATATATATAGATATATAAATGAACACAAAAAAAAATATTAGGAACGATAAAAAGAGTTAGCTGGTAAGTAAAGTAAACTTTATTTAACTTCTTTTATTTCTTGCTATCTAAAGAGAACGGATATCTCGAGCAGATATCTTTGAACGTCATATTATCTTACCATTAGTTGATAATTCATTTGGTATAACAGAATTTACACAAATCGCGGATAAAGAATTGTACGTCGAATGAATATTAAGAAAACTAACAGGTTTAAAAAAAAAACAGGTATATAATAAAAATATGAAAAGTATTAGATAAAATTAAAGGAAAAAAAAAAAAAAAAAAGAATAAATTTTAATCTCAAACGTCGCGACATACAATAAACAAAAAAATATAATTTACGTATTACTCATCGGACTTGTGACGATCATTTTTCTTCTTTATTATTTTTCTTATCGCAAATTGCACCACATTAAAACTTGACGTTTCGGTAAGGAAAAGAAAAAGAAAGAGAGGAAGCAAAAGGCTATAAATAAATATTAATGAAAATTCCAAAGGCAACAAATTTGGAAAAATACATTTTTTTCTTGAATTATATAGTATTATAAGCATCGCAGGGTGTATATGTGTTTGTATGCAATTAACAACGATGCAATTATATTTTTCAGAACGTCATAATTTGAAATAAATGTTGTAAATGCTCTTTCTATCGTTTTAACATTAACTGCGTACTTTTTTCATTTTTTTTCTCTCTCTCTTCCTCTTTTTTATTTTGCTATTTTTGTTTTGGTTATAACGCCGTAATATAATGCACCGAGACGTATGGTTTATCAAAATGGCTTCGAGTTTTTTTTTTTTTTTAGAAAAGCTCGACGTTGAGCGCGGTAATTTTTTTTTGTACGAAATGCGTTGGACTACGACAGTTCATAGAAAAAAATAAAGAAAATAAATCGTCGGTTTATTTCCTCGAATGAGAAAACAATGGTGGTAGTAAATGGATGGAGGAAAAAACAAGATCAATGATAATGAAAAAATCGAAAGATTTATTCTACGAATTCGTTCGTTCCTTTTTTCCAAAAAAATTAATTAACATTGACGAAAAACGTTAAAAATATTTCTTGAATATATTTTTTTTCATTTCTACTGTACGAATATTTGAGAATCATTAGCTATATACATAATTGTACGAGTGGAGGGGAATGTGTGTGTGTGTGTATGTTTAAGTATTATGTAAATATAATTAAAGACGCGCGGGCGTATATTTCGGCATTAAGAAGTAAGGAAAATTTCATAGGTTCAGTTAGTCTTATATTCAAGGACAAACGAGACGATCAATGAGGAAAGAAGGAAGAAACGATCGAACGTGCGTATGTATAGTACTACTACACATATATATATATATGCATATGTATTTATGCATTGATATACACATTATGCATGTAACTACGTATTCTCTAATTGCAAAGATATTCCTTTTAAAAAAAAATACAAAACGTAAGATTCTAAGTAGAAATAAGTATAAAAAAGAAAAAAAAAAAATAGTATTTAATGATAATAATTATAATAATAGTAATAATAGTAATACAATAATAATCGAATGAAATGAACACGGATAGAAAATTAAATATGTGAACGAGAAAAATTTCTCAAGGTCAAGTATACGAAGTTAGTTTAAAAAGAAAAAGAAAAAAAAAAATGAAAGAAAAAAAACAATATGGCTTTTAGACCAAATCAAAATCAAAGCGGATATATATGATAATAATTTAATAAATCGTCATATTAAAATAATTATATGTAAAGTTGTGTGCGCGCACGCGCGCGCGTTTGCTTATACGTGCGTGCACGCGAGCGAACGTATGTTCGAAGAAAAAAATGAAAAAGAAAAAGAAGCATTATGTACAAACCACAAAAAGTGAGTTGACAGCGCATAGAAGATATTTGATGCAACGTAGGCCAACATCGAGATGTGTGGCCGCCATTTTGGTCCTCTTCTTTAATTCAGGTAATTAATAATGATCCACAGTGAGAAAGAGAGAAAGAGAAAGATTGATATAAAAAAAAAATAACAAAAAAATCTATGTATATATATATATATGTATATATAAATATATCAGTTAAAGGGGAAAAACAGAGATCCGTGCACTTCCACGCTCGGAACAACACCGACTGCTGCTGCTTCTTTCAACTATGGCAATGACTATGTTATCGTCGAGGCTATTTTGCCTCGCCTTTTCGACGATCGAGCGCCTCCTTCGATATCTTTCCGCACAATTGATAACACACACAACATAAACCAACCGCAAGAATAAATTCATCTAGAATTAATTATACTCTTGCAGAGATAGATATTAATATAATGACATTATAATATTCTCTGTTTTTCTTTTCTTTTTTTATTATATTATATTTGAATTTGTTTTTTTCTTCATCTTCTTCTCCTTCTTCTTCTTCTTCTTCTTCTTCTTTCATTTTTTTGTTTACATTCGTTATTTTGTTTGTTTTTTTTTTTTACAAAGTCAAGAATCCCGTCGATCCTGTCTGTCAAGGATCACATCGATTACAACCGTATACATACCTGTTTTCAACCTAACTTCTCGATTACATCAGTTTTTTTTAATGTGGCTTCTAATGGAACGTAGACGTAATATTTTTGCAGTGTCGTAATTACCTACCGTGTTCAAAGGAAACGGAGAAGAGCAATAATGTATGCTTCAGTATCTTATTCGATATGAAATTATATGTTGGAATGAACATCCAATTAATGGTTTTAATAATTCATTTTCATTTTATCCATTAGAAAATAATTATTTTTTTATCGTATATATATATATTATAATATATTATAATTGTTTTCAATCTATAATAGAAACACGTAATAATATATTATTATATTGTATTACAGTTTATTTTATATAATATAATAATATAAAATTATATATTATTATTAATACGAAAATTATATATATATATATAAAGTATATCAAGTTTTATAATAAAACGTAATATACATCGTATTATGTTAAAAGGTTTTGTGTAAGGAAACCACGCTATCAGGTGCTAGAAAGATATACGCGTATTTGCGAACAACTACTATGATACATTGATATCAGTATACATACGTTATACTTGTATGCATGTATGCGTTATCGTTAAATGGGTTTCGCGTATGGTCGAAGATAAGTAAAGTGAGTCTCTCGAGTAACAGGTGGATTCAAAAGTTCTTCAAAAGTATCATTCTTTCTTATAATGAAATACCTAATGAATTTAATCGAATTTTATTCTATACGTTTTTTTATATACTTATGATTTTAGTACACATGTACTAACTACATCATTATTTATAAATAGACGAAATAAATGATAAGGTGTGCATGTCACCTATAAGCGTGACAAAGAAACACGCGAACTTTTTAGTAAAAAAGCAAAAGTTTTATTTAAATCGTCACCTATGATTCATACATTCTTTTTCTTTTTAAAAATGAACTGACATGGTTCTATTCGTCATATATATATATATATATATATGTTGACATTATTTCATAACAACGCTATTGATTTGAAATAAAATGTAAATTTTCTATTTTTAATAGGTAATATTTATTATGTAATATAATGCAAACCGAGATGATTACGTTTATATTTAATTTATATTTTTGTTTTTTTTTATTATTAATTGAAATCAATAAATAAATTTGTTTTTAATTGTCAATCGTTAGTTAACGATTTCATAATCATCGGCTCGTACGTGTACATATATATACGTACATAAAAATAGAAAAAAGAATTGGTAAATATGATTTTTATTAAAAATCTATAGAATCGTCCAATGGACGTTGACATTTTTGTTTTACATAAACATTACAACACACACGTCAATTTTTTTTAATTATAACAATAACTTACTAAATCGTTGCCAAATGACGCTTTTTTTTCTATTACTTGAAAACACAATAATATATATATATATTATATATATGTATACATATATGTATAATATAATTATACATAATATATTATATACATATATGTATAATATAATAATAATAATAAAGTAAAAGAGAGAGGAAAAGTGTAATATAAAACGATCGTACAACATGTTTAAGTATACACGTATAAATCGATCAGACTATTTAGAACAGGAAGAGATTACTTATATGTATACGCACATATACATGTATATATGATAGTATATAAAAGTATATAAACGAGAAATCTGTTGAAGTCTCGTTTATGTGTGATGGAAAATTTAAATCTTAATATTTTAAATGGAATTCATTGCTGCGTCTTATTAAAGATATATTTTTTGTTTCTTTTTGTTGTTGTTGTTGTTGTTATTGTTATTGTTGTTACTTTATACACTTTCGTAACTATTTCTAATAGATCGTGCCAGATAGATGGAGAACCATATGCCTATTGCCTGTAATCAAATTTTATTTTTAGTCATTCATTCATTCATTTATTTATTTATTATTTCATTAATAAATAAAAATAAGAATAGAATCTTTAATGACTAATTAGAAAAAGATTTACCTGAATAGTTGCGATACCAAGACCAACACCACCTAGTTGCACAGCATGTGCCTTGATGTATTGTTCGAACGTGTATTCACATCCTTGTTTATAAACAGTGTCCGCCGTATTGTTACAAATACTGGAACCATATTGTCCAAACTTTTTAGCACAACAAGACACCGGAAGATCGCCATTATTAAATTTGACCATCCAATCGGTACTATTTATAACACCGCAACATTTGAACTAGAATTTGAAAGAAAAGAATTTTATTGTTTTTCCTTGGTAGGATAATTTTTTGACGACACACATCACCCCTCCTTAAATATATTAAAAATTAAATATTTTAATATAATATTATACGTTTATATTTTTAGAATGTATCTCCCCATATAAACAGTTATATACAAGGTTTCCTGTAATCGGTGGTACACGCAAGTAAGCAGTAGCAGTAGGGAATGGTTTTACATGAAAAATTAATTCGAAAATATAGAAACAAATTTGTTCATGTAAACAATTGGTTTAGAGAAAAATAAGTTTGAAAATTTATCGAGTATACCGTACACACTACGGTTATAGGAAATTCTGTATATTTTAATATGTTAGTATACTAATTATCA